CACTGTTAATACATTTACAATCAGGTATTTCAAATCTTTACTATATATTTCAGGTAAAATTCCCAATAAAAATATCTCTGGTTTCAAGTCTGTATGTTTTTTTGTCATTTTTTCCAACCACATGTGGATTTTAGTTCAGTATTTTTTAGCATCCACACAAGTCCACCACATATGCTAATATGAGCCAGGTGTCTGATGACATTTCCAACATTTTTCGGATTTATTCTTGAACATTCTTGCTATTCTTGTCGGGGGAAATGCCACCTGTAAAACATCTTATACAAATTTTCTTTATATGCTGTTGACATTGTCATTTTATAATTTTGAGACCACAATTTTTGCCATTTCTCTAGATCAATCCCATATCCAAAATTCTTCCCCCAAGCAATCATAGTTTCTTTAACTTGTTCTTCTTCTAGTTTAATTTCTAATAAATATCCATACAATTTTTTAATCACCTTTTCATCAGTACCTGTCAAAATCTTATCTAAGTCAGTCAGTTAGTCATAGAAACCTTCTGCTTTAGAATCTTTATCATACCTTGAATGTATTTGCACATATGAGAACCAATTCATCTTTATACCTTGTTCCTCTAGTTTTTGCATAGATTTAAGTTCACCCTTTTCATTCAATATTTCACCATATCTGTTTGTTCCTTTTTGTATATTATAGGATATGAAAATGCTTCAATAGTCGATAACCAGACTGGAATTTTCAAATAACATTGTATTTTAATCTTCTCCCAGTTTAACCACAGAGACTCCCGTATGTGATGTCTTCTAAAATACCCCTGTGTTTTAGTTCCTTTGTACCATAAAAAAGCATGCCACCCCAACAACAAATCATGTCCTTCTAATGTCAACAATCTAGTATTTCTTAGTGTTATCCATTCCTTAACCCACATCAAATTTGTAGCTTGGTAGTACAACTCCCAATTAGGCAAACCAAATCCTCCTCTAATTCTAGCATCTTGCAAAAGTTTTAACTTTATTCTCGCTTTCTTACCTTGCCATATATATTTCAACACAATTTTATTTAAATCTTCAAAGTAGTCTTTTCCAAGCCTAATTGGAATTGTTTGAAACAAATATAAAATTCTGGGTAATATATTCATCTTGATTGTTGAAATTCTCCCTATTAGTGACAGTTGTAAATTTTCCCATTTAGCCAAATCTAGCACTATCTGCTGTTTAAGTTTAATATAATTATTCTCTTTTAATGTACTATATCTTGGTGTCAAATATATCCCCAAGTACTTGATCTTATTCGTGACCTGAATTTTCAATAGATCTGCCAGTTCTTCCTTTTGTCTTAATAGCATATTCTTTGTCAAAATCTTTGTCTTAGACTTAAGGAAAAAAAAAGAAAAAAAAGGAAAAGGAAAAATTCTTCGGGTTCTTCAACACCTTAATCCAATTGAAAGGTCTCAAATAGAAAAAAGTGCATAAAAATAAACCAGAAAGGTAGATGAAAAAACAAAAATACCAGGAAAGGGGAAAAAAGGCTTTTAAGGCTTTCCCTTTAAAATAAAAAGCAAACGTAGAGATTGGACTTCCCAAAAACAAAAAACAAAACAAAAACAAAGACAAGCTCCAACAAAGCCAAAAACCCAAATAGTTATTACAAAAAAAAAAGATAAAAAAAATACAATAAAGCTGGCGAGGAGGGATAGCACAACTTAGGAAAAGTAAAAAAGGCACACTGCACTTTGTTTGATTATCCAAGGCTCTTATTATAACTCTCTTCTCCAAAAACTTATCACCTTTTTCCCCCTATGGTTCAACACCAGACTCCAGCTGTTGATAGAAACCCAGATGAGCACCTGCAATAATACTCTCCCATGCTCTTCCCTCTATCTTATCAAATAGCAATGTCCTTGAAAAAGAGTCTCAGTTCTTTCTTTCTCAGCTTTGTCTGGTCACAGGGAAATAGAATATTTTCAAGCCTCTAGTTGGCAATGTTACAAAGTTTCTTTGCTCTCACTATCCCGCTCCTTTTCCGAGCAGGATTAATAAAATTAATTAAGAATTAATAAAAAAAGAAAAGATATTTAAAAAGGATTTGTCTTCTGTACAGATACAGATAGATAAACTCCACAAAACATCCATAACAAAGTACTTTTATTGGTTCATCAGGTATCCTCATAACTCACATTTGTGACAAAGTTCTTCTTTAATGACCAATCCTTTGCATACCTGTCTTGTAGGTAAAAAGATGATTATCTCTTTTCTCTCATCTCGTAGCGGTAGAAGTAGAACAATTACCACGAGTCCGTGAGTTCAGCCAAGAGTGAGGAAACCTCCCCCAACCCCTCGAGGATCAATTTAGTGACCAATTAGGATTACAGATGTGGTCACATGACATGGACTATATTTCCCAGGATACCTTAACTACATTTACCATGATGCATTCCCTTAAGGGGACAGCTCACAATTGCTACCTAACTATCCAATTCCCATACACTGGCTGGACAGCACAGACTGAGAAGCAGCAAAATACTGGATTGCAATCTATACATCTGTCCTAAGTCACCTTGAACCATGAGATGGATGGCTTATAAATTTAATAAATAAATACAGGCAATCCTCTACTAATAGTCTGGAATTTCCACTGTAAATCATGATGGTCGTAAGTTGAGTGACTTAATGTAACCGACCCAATTTTATGACATTTTTTGCAGCAGGTGTAAAATAAATGCAGTGGTCATAAAGCAAGTCAACTCATTCCTATGGGCCATTTTTTGCCAAAACAGACCAACAAGGCAGAAACCGTCAGAAAAGTTGTAAATTCTGGTCATGTGACCATGGAACATTGTAACGGGCCATTAAAGTGAGCTAGCTGTCAGCCACCTGAAATGCAGTCATGTGACCTTGGGAGGTGGGGGGAGGTTCTACCACTGAACTTCGGAACTGGGTTGTAAGTAGAGGTGGCATTCAGCAGGTTCTGACCAGTTCTGGAGAACTGGTAGCGGAAATTTTGAGTAGTTAGGAGAACCAGCAAATACCGCCTCTGACTGGAAATTTTGACAGTATCCTTCCCCCAGGGGTGGGATTCAAAATTTTTAACAACCGGTTCTGTGGGTGTGGCTTAGGTGGTGGGCATGGCTTGGTGGTCATGTGACTGGGTGGACATGTTATTGGCTGGGTGTGGCCAATGCAATATCACTCACATCGAGGCATGCATCTCCTCGCCTGGCCTCTCATGACTGTGGGGATGCTGCAACAGTCGTAAGTGTGAAAAATGGTCATAAGTCACTTTTTTCAGTGCCATTGTAACTTTGAATGGTCACTCCACACAAGCAAAGTACCAGCAAAGGAGGGGAAAAAACCTCCAGAGAAGCTCCTGAGACAGGAAGTCTAGTCCTGCCAAGAATGTAATAAGGGTTAATGGAGAGGCAGTTTCTGTAAGCAACGCCAGAATGTTTCCTTCCTGCCTTCCTTACAGGATTAGGCCAGTAATTTCTTCTAACAACTGGTTCTCCAAACTGCTTAGAATGTTAACAACAGGTTCTAGCGAATAGGTGTGAACTGGTACAATCCCATCCCTGCCTTCCCCTGCCATGCCCATCAAGCCACGCCCACAGAACCAGTAGTAAAAAAAAAAGAATCCTACCACTGGTTGTAAGTACTATCATTTCAGTGATATTGCCTTACTTAAACAGAGAAACAGAATGACCACAGGTAGGCAAGAAAGTAGTGGGAGTGACTTCTGATTTCCTGTTGGCTTCCCCATCGATTTTCTTTGCAGGAAGCCTGCAGGAAATGTTGGAAATGATGATCATGTGAATGTGGCAGTGCTGTAGCACTGAAGCAGCCACAGCTTTGCTAAATCTCAATCCCGTGGGAGTCATAGAGTCTGCAAATTACCCCATTTGAGGTACATCGATTCAAAAATGGTTGCCGTATGATGCACCATTGCACCCAATTGAAGATTGCAAACAGACAACAGACACAAGAGTTTTAACCAAATATATATTTAGAAGCCTTTAATATCTTCACCCCAACGACTATTTTGTGGTGTGCTATCACAATGTGCCAATATTCTTGAGCTGAAATCTCTCTCAACTCTTGTTATTTAGAACTTTTTGATGAGATTTCTGGACATGCTGGATACTCCTAAAACAAACCAGGATGGATTATAAAGTATTTAGCACAGATTTTTTTAAATTATTTTTTATTTTTAATTATTTTAAATTAAGCATATTTTTCTCTCTCCTCCTGAACCTACGATTTTTAGCATCCTTGTTTATAGTGTAGTCTAGGGGTCTCCAACCTTAGCAACTTTAAGCCTGGAGGACTTCAATTCCCAGAATTCTCTGGCCAGTAAAGCTGGCCGGGGAATTCTGGGAGTTGAAGTCCTCCAGGTTTAAAGTAGCTAAGGTTGAAGACCCCTGGTGTAAGACACAAGATGGGTTTACCTGAGGCAATTGCCCCTGAGGCAACCCCTTTTTTAGCCCAGCATGTAGGGCGTTCCCACCCCTATGATTGATTCATGGTGCAGTCCGTTCTGCCAGCCCAGAACATCGGGATGAGTAACCCACGTGTCACGTTTTAACCGTGTCCCGCGAATTCGGGCAACCGCCACACATCATTCTCACGGGGCCCATTTAAAACAAGCGGGGCTCACTCAGCCACGGGAAAACGTGCTGAGTGGCTGCCTTGCACGCGGAACACAGAGTTGGAAGAGCAATTCGCGAGTCACGGCGTCGTGGGAAAGCGGCCACCTTCGCTAAACCGGGCGAGAGCGGCTTAGAAGCAGGAAGGCGGGGAGAAAGAAGAGGAGGAGGAGGAGGAGGAGCCTCGACCAGCCGCTCTCCTACCTCCAAAAGCGAGAAGCCGCCAGCCGCGCCGGTCGGAACTAGAGGCAGCAGGCAAGCAGCAGGCAGGCAGGCGTCGTCGGGAGCCGGTCGAAGACTGCCGCGGAGCCCCTCCCTCCCGCTCCCCGCCAGCCGTGCGGCAAGCAATCGGGCGCCAGGGGCCGGCGCTGGACGCCGCCTTCGCTTTCCTGGGCTGCGAGGCGCCCCACGCCGCGGAGGGCGAGCGCGAGGCGCGCAAAGTGTGGCGGCGCCGCGCGCGAGAGAGAGACTGAGGAGAGTCCCGCTCGCCCTGCCCGCCTGACTCCGAGCCTTCCCGGGAGCTCCCTCAGCCAAAGCGGCCGCAAAATGCCGCTCGCCCAGTTGGGAGCGGAACCTTGGCCCGAGGTGGAGCTGGTCGACATGGAGCTGGACGCGGCGGAGGTGAGAGCCGGACGGGAGTTGGAGGGGGAGCGCCTTCTTCGCCCGACCTGACTTGCAGGGTGGGAAGGGGGCGACTTGTCGGACTGAGCCCCCGCTACACCTCCCCCCCCCGGGGAAGGGCTAGCTGAGCGGAGCCCCGAGCTTGCGGCTTCCAGCACCGGGCTGGGACTGCACCACCCCCCGCCCCACAAACCTCTAGCCCGGGAGGGTCACGCTGGAGCCGCACCTGGCCTTTCGCACGACCGGATAAGGCAGCCTCGAGCACCCCGCGCCATGCGGGTAGCCCCAGCTGCGACCGACCGACTGTGGCTTGGAAAGAGCGGAGGCGGTGGCTGTACCCAGCCCGTCCCCGGGGCGCCATTCATCAAGCGGAGGAAAACACCGGAGATAGGGACTGTTTTCTCCCCCCCCCTCCCTCCCTCCCGGGTGAAAGAGGTGCTTCTGGCGCTCTCGGCAGCCCTGCTCCGACTTGGATGGTCCCCATAATAATAGCCCTCGGCCCGAAGCAACATTCCGGCTCGCTTGTGCTGGAAGCTATTAAAGGGCACCGTCCCGGAAAGCTTTTCCGCCTAATTAAAGTAATCCGAACCTCCTCGTTAATCCGATCGATGAGCGGCTTTCCGAAACCCCTCCGGAACCTGCTCCTCGGGGACGGCTGGGGCCTGCCTGCCTGTGCCTCCTCTTTGAAGGGAGTTGAGAAACCGGGCTGGGTGGTGCGGGCCAACGGTGGGGGGGAAAGGTTTCCTCTTCCTGGTGCTGGGCTGAAGAAACGGTCTGCTGCCAGGGCTGGAGGTCCGTTTTCAGGAGGGCAGAAGGGAGGAGCACCCCCACGGGCAGAATGAGGCAGCTCAGACCGGGGAGGGGGTGCTAGACTGCAAGGAATGACATGGGGAGGGGGACAGTCTTGGATTTGGGCTGCACCTCTGGGAGATCTAGACTTAAATCCTGAGGTCAGTTTGCTTTTCCAGAAAGGATCTAGTCTTGGAGTTCCTGTATATGGCCAAACCTGGATCTTGAAGGTCTGAAATAAAGTGTGGCTGGATGGGGTAAAATGGTCCAAGCAGGTAGAAAAGAGAGAGAGAGAGAAATCTTTTGTTTCTACAAGGCAGTCTATGTAAATGACAATAAATGTGAGAGGGATATGAAATTGCTGCTGTGAAAAGATTTGGTATGCATTTATTCCCCTTTGCAAAGGAAGGTTGGATTCCGCGTGTGTGATTAATCTCACCAGGTGCTCCCTCGGTGTGTTGGGTTTTTTTACAACTGCAGTGTGCCCGGTTCTACCTAGCAGGCTGGCAAACTGCAGGCTGGTGCAGACTCATTCTAAAGGACGAATGTAAAGGGAGGACAAGCATTGATAAGGAACAGTGATTTGCAGGGAGTGATGAGGTAGGAGAAAGTTGGCTGCCAGGATGCCCGAGACTTAGGCTGGCCCATAAGATAAATAGCAGAGTCAAAGTCCAAAAATATAGGCAGAGAAAACAATCCGGTCTCTTCCAGATGTTTTGATGGAAGATCCGGTCTCTTCCATCAGTCCTAGCCATCACGACCCAATAGGAAGATCCACGCACCTGGAAGGCATCTAGTTGAGTCCCAAACAGCAGCCATGGAGTTCTTGATAAGCAGCCTCTGGTGCATAAGTAGGGATGTGAGAAGACGATCTGGGAAACAGCTGCATCCCCTTGGTGGTGTTTTCTGTGACAAGTGCAGGAAGCTAGCAGTGCTAGCAGGAAATTGTTGGGAACTGGATAACCCCATCTCTTTAAATTTCAATAACCAGCCAAAACAAGAGTTCTTAGCACTGGGGATAATGTTGCCCTCAAGCTTTGGCCACGTTGGCAAGGGGCTGTTGGAAGTCCACATTCCATTCTGAACGCAGCCCCAGTTCCTACTAATGAGCCTTCGGGAAGCAGAAGTAATGAGCCAATGGAAGAGAATGTCGGCTTTGTCACTGTGTGCTCTGAAACTCATTTTAAAACAGTAACATAAGGTCAGAATTAACTCTCAGGTTAACTATGATGTAGAATAAGTAGAACAGAAACAGCTGCGTTTGAAGGCGTTCAATTCCAAAGGCGATACGGAGATTTCCATCTTCCATGGATAGTGGCCTGTAGTTCCACACGGCCAAAATAGTTTTAAAATATTAAAGGCTTTATTTAATTAAAAAAAACCCTTTTAGCTAAGTGCGCTTACAATGCTAAATGTAAATCATGTTTTATAAATCATAGTCTCTCAGCCAAACCCAAAAAGCGCTATTATGTTTTTGTATATGAACCTGGTCATTATGCTAATCATTCGGATAGGTGTATGAGATGAACCACAGAGCCTCTAGCTTGTTAACCCTGGTTGGTGGGTGGTTCAGCCCTGATAACTGCTGTTAAATAATAAATTACAGTTCTTTCAAGGCTGTATGAAATATATCCTTCATTTTGCTTCGGGGTAATTATACACCCTCTGTGTCTCTGTATGCATAGTTAGGTGTGCTTGTACACAGGATCAGCTATTGATCTTTCTAATGGCATTTTTATTCTCTCTCTCTGTGTACTGTTGTGATTTATTTTTCATGGCTAGCTGGCTCAATGCAGTAATCAAAGGAATTATTAAACTTCCTGCACGATAAAAGGGAAGGAGAGCAATAGGCTCTCACCCCACCTTTGTCCCCACTCAAAAAATGTTTTGGTCCTCTGGGTTCTTTTCTGCGCTTGAAAAGAATAATGTTGCCTCATTAAAGCATTCAATCTCCTCACACATTTCAAAGGGAGCCTGGCAGACTCCATGGCAGTGCGTGCTTTATTAATTGTTTCTAAAACAATATTTCCCAGCCACTGGGTTAGCCTAGGGGTCAGGGGTCCCCAACCTTTTGGGGCTGGGGGATTAAATTTGGAAGTGTGTATGGTGGGCAGTCTCCCAAAATGGCATTCCAGGAGGGGGTGCAGCAGAAAGAAGATCGCCCCATTCATAACTAGCTGTAATGAGACATCATTAAAGCAGACAGCTTCCTGCTACCCTCTCTAATGCCTCCCCTCCCCAAATGTATGCCTCTCTCTTGTTTTTATTTGTTCTTTCTCTGGGCAGGTAGGCACCCTTCCAAGAGAATCCCGGGTGCAATTAATTATCTGCTTTTTTATGTTGAAGCACGCAATCACTTTTGCAAATAAAAGCTGTGCTGAAAGCTCCATCATGTTTGCTTTAAACATGGTTTAAGATAAGAAACCAGGTGAGTCAAGGGACCTGGCAGTGCTGGTTGGAGAATTCTGGGCAGAGGAGTGCCCCCAGTATCCTGCTGGGGATCTAGACTTTGGGCTAATTGGGCAACAGAGTAGAGCAATGCTTTTCAATCTTAGTCATTTTAAGATTGTGGACTTCAACGGCCAGATTAACAACCGTGTTACTAAGTTAACAGCTGAATTGATTTGCTTAACAGCTGTGGCAAAAAAGGTCATAAAACAGGGCAAAATCCCCTTAAGTGCCTTGCTTAGCAACATAAATTTGGGCTCAATTATGGTCATAAGTTGAGGACTACCTGAGAGGGTTCTTCTGTTGGTGCCAATCCCATCCAAGGGCCATGTGAAGTATGTAAATCTGTTAGGCTTTGCTACCAGATAGAATAAGAGAGTCGATTTCATCTCAGACTAGTTTTTTGCCTACTGAAGGATGGGTAGATAACATTTCTACTTGGTGATGATGAAAAATTCTTTCAGGGGTCCTTGGTGCTCTCTGAGCTTGGTGGTTTTCTTGCAGACATTTCATTATCCAAACTAGATAACATCATCAGTGCCAGTAAGGTGTGGGGTTTGCTCTCAGCTTATTCTAGTGGCTTGCACTGACAGTGTTGTTGGGGTTAGTCTTACAGGTTCTTTGCTTGGGCTGTTTACTATTAGCATCAGTCCAACAATCAAGAATTAAACAATAACCCAAATGGTAGGAATTGCCAAACAAGCTAACAGTAAACAGCCCAAGCAAAGATCCTCTAAAACCAACCAGCACTGACAGGGCAAACTTCTAGAATATAAGCTGAGTGCAAACCCCGCCCTCTTCTAGCACTGATGGTGTTACCTATTTTGGGTAATGAAAGGTCTGCAAGAAAGCCACCAGGCCTGGAGAGCACCAAGCACCCCTCATTTCAACCTTGAGCCAGAAATATTCTCCTTTATTGAAAAGTTCTTTGCTCTTTCGCCCATCTCCACCAAATCATCCGGTTTGTAGTGCTGACTGACTTGAGGCAAATAGCAAGATCTGGCAAAGTCAAGCCATATTCCTTTGCTATTTATCAAAAGCAAACAAACGCAACCAGGAAGCAAGAAAGGAAACATACTTTGGAACTAACTGATATACGATAAGTATTCGAACACATTCTAGAGCTTTTTTTTTTTTTAAAAAAAAGGTTAAACATATTTACTGCTTTGTTCCTCCCAACCACCCGCCCAGTAACAGCTTAATGATGCCCATATCTGTTCAGATAGGAACTCTTGGCCCTTCTCCATAAGTGAAGTTATAAGAGCAGGTCTTTATACAAAATGAGAGTGATACACCCTTTAAACGCCTCGTCCTCACATGACCTCAGAATCATGTCAGCCTTTCAAGTAGACCAGGCAGGAAACACAACAAGATGGACTAATTCAAACTTATTACAAGAATATGAACAGAAACTTGCAAGCCTAAGAGTACAAATCTCCCACTGTCTCTTTTTACCACCTAGTTACTGATGGTGGATCCTTTCTTAAGCTTCTTTTTTGCCCATTATTCATTTGTGGGCTCCTTTCCCTTTTATCAGATCATTTCCTGGGCAGCATCTCTTCCTTCCATCTTCCAAGGTCATTCTCACATTCCATTACAAACTAATAGCTGTCTTCACAGTTATAGGTAGAATCTGAACACTCTGGCAAGGAGCCTGGTGCCAGATAAGTATGGGAAGCCAAAACATGACTGTGTTCTCTGGGGCTCAGCAGATAACAGGTGTGAGATTAGCAGGATAGGAAAAAGCTGCTTGCCTGCAAGAA